CAACACATTTCTCCCATACTGGCTTATCTTCATTGGCTTCCTGATAAATCCAGGATTGAATTTAAAATCGTCTCCTCATGTTCAAGGTCTCGTATAACAATTCCATTCGAGCACTTTGCTCTCAGACACTATCTCTACTTTTAATATTAGGCTTAAAACTTTCTTTTTGATAATGCATATAGTTATGGCTGGATAAGCTGACTATGAAACCTTTGGGGCAAGTGCCTGCTCATAAGGGATCATCTGATTGAGGTTTTTGTTTCTTTATTATAGCAGCATCTTTAGCTGACGATAAAGATCCTATGAAATAAAGCTCCTTGAGGAAACCGCTGTTGTGATTCGGTGCTATATAACTAAAAATAAAACTATAGCAGTCGCATCACTGAAAGTTAGTAATTAACAGTTTGTATATCCTGCAAACAGTGTAAAAAATGCAATGCAAATGGTTACACCCCAGAGTTCTTACCAGGTCTGGAAGGTAATGAAGTCGAAGGCACATTGGGGAGAGGGGCGGTCTCTGGTCCACCGATCTCGAGCAGATTTTTGTCCAGCTCTTCCTGTTCCAGCTCGTCCAGCTCGGCAAGCAGCTCATCCTGAGAAGCAAAGAAATTCACCCCAAGGATGAAGACCAGCACCAACGTATTCATACCAGCAAAAGCAAAAAGATAATAACTAATAATTAGACTCGGCTATACTGGGTTAACCCAACATCATTATCAATGCAACATTCATATACATATACAAACACGGGATAATAGCAACTCTCTAAGAGATAAGTAATGATATTTCTGAGTCAGGCGTATGAAAAGATGCTTATGTCATGTACAGTAAAATCCCATCATCATTAAGAAGGAAGCCTTAGATAAGCAAAGATGCAAAAGACAGAATGATTTCACTGTGGCCAAGAGGATTCACGGTGGAACACAGCAGAATTTAGAAATGTCTTTAATGTGAATGAGAAAGGATTAGAATAGACACTGGAAACCAGTACCAACTAGATAGATGTAGGGCATAAATATAGTATAAACTAAGTATGGAGCGTATGCATAAATGCACATTTAAATAACTGTACGTGTATGTGGTTGTGTGAGGCTGTGTGTTAAAGCCCAGTGTCTCTCTACTCTCTCTCCGTTGTGTGGTTCAACTTCTTTGCATGCTCGTTAGCGTGCAGACTCCTTCTCCTGATTGGTCCCTGCTGCTTCATTATTCTGCCTTCTACATTTTCTGATGGACTGCTGCCCCAGTCCTGTGCTCCAATCAAGCTCCAGATGATTACAGAAGCTGTCTTAAAAAATTGTTAATTTCATGTATCTCGGGCTTCTTGTTCGGTTCCACACACAGGTGCTTGCTTGTTTCTGGCTTAGTAACTTGTTTTGTTTCCATCTGGGACACTTGCCTCACCCTGATGATTGTGCCAGGTTTAGTAGAAACTGCACCATGCATAGACTACTCTGTGTACAGACAACAGATCTCGAGGTGGTACCAAAGGTTGAGTTTTTTTTTCTTTTAAATGAGGGTGTAGTCGTTTTTTGTCTCCTGTGCCGTTTTGTGAAAAAAGACATTAAAAAAATATTTAAAAAGAATCTATATCATATCATAACAGTGTGTATCTGCAGTTATCAATACGTTGCTGTGGATGCAAGTATGGATTAACCCTCCTGCACCATTTCATTTTTTTTTTATTTAAGCTTAGAATTGAGTCTTTTTTTCTTTAATAATCATTACCTGTTTTATTTGGGTACGCTCTCAATTTATGTATTTTTGGTAATAAAATCTGTGAATAAAATGAGGCACTTGCACACTTAGAATCACAAATATTTAATACTAACAGATCACAGATATACCACACAAATGTAAACATAAGACACCTGAAGAGCTTCACCTACCTCATCAAACTCCTCACCAAAGCCCACAGGTTTAGAGATGGCGTCAGAGATTTCTTGGGCCAGTTCCTGCTGCTCTGTAATGTCCTGCATCAGTTCATCCACTTTGTCAATGTCCCTGAAATAAGAAGGAAAGACTGTGAGCAAAAGAGAATTCACTCATATAGGTTTTATAAAAGAGGCTATTTAATCTAAATATGACCATTAGATGTCTGAGTAGTTCTACGGCAAAAACTAAGGAGGATGTCAGGCATCTAATATACATGGCAGTGAAACCCACATACACTTTTTATGGTTACATTTTACAGATACTGACTGAAATAAATGCATAAAAGAAAGGATTACTGCATGTTGGTGAAATTATATGCATTTCATTATCAGCAAAACCTCCTTGTAATATTTCTGATCATTTCGGAACTGACTGAATCTTCTTTATGCTTGCTTTAGTCTCAGTAACAAAAAGGAAGTTGCAAAAATAATCTGTGCAGAGAGGTTTCGTCCCAGTCGATCACACCTCGGTGCTCGCTCTTACATGTTTTCATGAGCAGACTTCATGGCCTTGGCAGCGAAGCCCATGTTTTTGAGCACTTCAGTGTTGGTGTTGGCGTTCTCCAGAGCCTCCCGCTGGAATTCGATGGTGGACAGCGTCCCATCGATCTGCTCGAGCTGCTTCTCGTACCGCTTCTTTCTTTTCAAGGCCTGAAGTGCCGCTGAGGATCCAAAGACAGGGAGTGGGGTGGGGAGAGTCAGAATGAACAGATTGGCCTTGAAACACCGTTTAGTGACAATGGAGAGAAACAGTGAATAATGGTACTTTAACACAACAAATATTTGTGTTACTACCCAATCAGGCTATCATTCCTGTTAGTCAGCACTACTCTGTGAACCTAGATAATTCACTGCTGATTATTCGACCACATTAGTGACTGTTTTAGCAATACGAAAGACAGTCAAATACAGCCTGCGTGAAGACTAACGGAAAACCTGGAGAGTAATTAATCAGGTAAAGAGGTCAGATGACAACAACCCCTGAAACCCGATAGGCTATACTGATCCTGTCAGAGAAGGTTGTGCTACGCTGAGTCATTCTGTGAACTTTGTGGATCAGAAGAAGGAAGTGATTAGCTAATGTACCATACACTGCAGTATTCTGACTAAAAATTGGCACTAAGTCTTTTTTTATTTTAACTTAATACATCTGGTGGCTCCATTAACTGTCCATCCATTTTTCTTCTTCCACTTATTCAATTTAGGTGTTGCGAGGAGAGGACTGAGGGCTGGCTGGAACTTATCCCAGCTACCATAGAATGAGAAGCAGGGGTACACCCTGGACACCCAGTCTATTACCGAGCTAACACAGACAACCATAAATCATCAATTGACCTAATATCATGCATGTCTTTGGACTGTGGGAAGCGATGGAGAACCCGGAGAGAACATGGAAACTCCACACTGGCTGGATTTGAACCTGCGATCTTCTCGTTGGGAGGCGACACCGCTAACCATCCTGATCTAAATTAAATTTACTCTGATCCCTAGAAATGTGTTCGATGTCAACAAGAACAATACACATGTACAAATCTATATGGTTGGTTCCACGTTGTGGTAGAACATGGTCAACTTGTATTGCAGTTAACTTATAATGAGCCCCAAGCTGTGATCGTCTCACGTAATCATCTGTAAGGAGACTGTGGGACCTGCTGGAGGTCCACAGGTTTCTATACGGACATCTGATCAAGGTGCAAACACGCCCACCTCTCTGACACTTATAACACGTGCTCAACCCTTGTCCTGGCTAACTGGGTCGATATCTTTATTGCCGCTATATTTGCAACATCATACCTAACAGTCTATATATACACACCACACCTTCAACCAGGTCTCCTGATTTTTAAACGACCACCTATGAGTCAAAAGAAAACTCGAATATCGGCAAAGGCCAAGGCTAGCGTCCCCGCGGGGCCATAAGTTAACGGTGATCACATAATGAAGTCAGTCACACAGCTAGACAGCCGCCCATCCAGACTGGCAGCCATGGCCGTGGTAAAGACGCTGGATGAGGCTGCCAGCAGTTACGGCACCTCGGGAAAGTTAGCCAACTCAGCTAACGGGCTAGCTAACGGTTAGCTTAAGGTTGCTGACAACAAAAATCTATCAAGCAAGAGAAGAAACTACGAAAAAAAAACCTCGCGGCGTCTCACCTCTTTTGTTCTTTGTGCCGTTTTTCTTTGCGGTCTGCAGCTCCTGTTCGATCTTCTTCTCTAAAAATTCCTGTTTCTTGGTTAGCATCTCCTCCGTCTCCCGGAGTTTTTGGATCGCCTCCTGTGGACTCGGTCCCTTTCCCGATTTTCCTCCTCCTCCAAATATCTTGCCAAACACCGACATGTCTGGGACACAGCGCTTACTATAAAGACAAAACACAAATGCGAGATATCTTATAAAATAAAGCTAAAGCTACGTCTCTGCTAAGCTACTCGGACACTTCGCCTTAACCTGGACCCTGGAAGGGTTGTTGATGTTTTTCCACTTCCTGGATTAGGCCCACTGACGTCATTCTGCCCGGCGAATGAGGGGCGTTGCCTGTTGGTTCTCTGTCGCCATCTGCCTGACAACTGCTTTTAATCCTCTTTAATTCTTCAATCACTCTTCTTTAACAAGGAATATATTAATAATAATAACAATAGTTTTTCCTCTTTTGAGTTTAGCAGCTGTTGTGCTTTCGTACTTAATGAACCGTCCCCAAACAACAAGTCAAGTCAGTATTTTTGCAGCTGTATAGATTTTTTTGTCCTGCTATCCAAGTATCAAAGTATTAGCAGTTACAGGAATATGCACACCATGCTTCCCAGATTGCATTCTTAACTGAAAGGGAAAAAACAGAAACCTTTCACAGAACCAGACAGTTGGGGGGTTTATGTATTTTAATTCATTATGATGCTACATCATCCATGGTGGCTGTTTATTTTCTTCCTTTAGTACAGTATGTTAATAACTTTGCCAGTTATCTTTTGAGTCTTTTTTAATTTTTATTTACATACAAAAAGAGTATCCAATTACTGTGTGATTACATTGTTGTGACTGTATCTGCAGGTGTGGTCTGAAGCGCTGATGCCTTTGTCGTTTTTAAATCCTTTAATGTAGTGTGTATTCACAGGTCAGTCCTCTCACAGCTGCCCACATCCAGACATATCTGACCCCCTCCCCGCCCAGCCTCATGCAAATAAGCAGATATTCATTGTTTTTTTTTTTAAACTTTTGAGGAAATGAATCAGCCGAGACGGTCATGTGATGGCCAAGATAATACAGCTGTGTTATCTCACAACCACCAGAACTCAACAGGACACAAACGGAAAAGGTGACAGCAAAGGAAACAAAAACACACACACACAAACTGATAACCAGACTCAAGATGGTCCCTTTTGGAAAAGACAGTATTTTTTTGTTTGTTGGTTGGTTTTGCTAACATGGATTTTTCAACACTCAAAAAAATAAAATAATCATAATTAATTCAGGTCATTCCATGCAGACTACAGAGTGCACACGTGAGAATAGTGCATTTGAATATTTTAAACAACAGAAGCAAAGTGTCTACATGACAACACAAGAGAGGAAGAAGGGAAACAAACAAACAAACAAAAAAAAAAAGGCAAACAACTGCTGTAATACACCAGAGGGCGCAAAGTCAATGCACCATGGGCAAAATTCAATAGAGTGGTCAGAACTCGTGTTACATACTCTGATGTGCATGGATAAGTAAGAGTTGGTTTTGCATGACCTGTCCAGAGCTTTGTAGCCAGACATTAGGCTTTTTATTTATTTTTTTTCTGTTCAGCGTAACTGTGTGCAAACCTGAGGAAGTAATTAACAAACATACAAAAACCAAGCATGAAGATGTAAATTACAGCTTTGTTTCTGAAACAAAAAAAAAAAGAAGCCAAAAGATAAAATAAAAATCACCATACAGAAAACTTTTTGAAGTCATAATTGTGAATTTACTGAATCATGATTTTAATGAATTTCTACAGATTCCTTGGTCTGGATTACACCAAATCATCCAAATATTCAATTAGATTTTCAACAAACACCCCCATTTTTGCTGAATACAAGAAATCTGTTTGGATTATTTATTCATTTTTAAACCAGCCGTCTTCACAGCCTGTGAGCCTCACCGTCTGCGGTCTCCTCGCATAAAAACAGTCACACAGTCCGACACATCACTGCTCCTGCAGGAGGCAAAATAAACACACACACACACACACTTTTTCTTTTCTTTTTAAAACCCCAAACTCTTTAGAGGACAATACATGAAGCTTGAGTCTAGAGAGAAAGGAAAGAAAAAAAAAATAAAACAGTCTTTCACTGATTAACTGTGTTCACCTCTCCTTGCAGATTAATAAATGGAAGAGATTATCAGAAGAGGGTTAGAGCTTTTTGTTTTTGTTTTTTTTTTGTTTGTTTTTTTTTAAATGGACAACGTGTGTGAGCAACTTATGAAAACTTGCGAATCAATGAAAGACTTTAGACATTCAGCCAGCGTGAAGCCACTTAAACACACGACTAACTGTTACCTGTGCAAGTTAGGGAAGATCATTTAAGGAAGAGAGATGGACGGAAAGAACAGATCAAAAAAAAAGAAAAAAGAAAAAAAAGGACCTGTGACAAAAATGCTCGCACTCATGGTTTAACTTGGGATAGCCTTCTTTCGTTTTCTTTTTACACCAAACCATCATGATATTGCCTTAAATGTTTAAAAGAAAGAAAGAAAGAAACAGATCAACATAAACCCAGAAGACATCCCCGTCGCCGTTGCTGACACGCGTCCTCCCAAGCACGCGGTCTATCCGTCCGTCTGTCACTGTGCTCTGTCCGTCTGTGTCCCTACAGGGCCAGCTTGCCAATGATGACTCCAATCACAAAGAAGAGCACGCAGAACGCCAGCACGCGGGTGCTTAGGCCTTCGTCCCTCACGGCTGTGGTGGCCATGGTGGAGGAGGAGTGAGCGGAGGCCAATGGTGTCACCTTTCTCTTCCGCAGACCGTCATCCTCCTGTGATGAAGACGAGGAGTCAGAAATACAAATACGCGCTTATAAGTTGACTTTTAATTTGGTAGAATTTGTCACTCCGCATCTCAATGATAGCTTATCAAAAATCTGATATAAAAATAAATATGTCATTACTGGATTTTTAAACAATGTTTACACCAGGATTATTTTCCATCATTTAACAAAAAAAAAAAAAAAGAACCAGCATAGTGAACAGTTTTGCTTTTCTGTTGCAAGCAGCTATAACACTGCTGCCTTCAAGTGCTGTCAGAATTTTTTTATTATTATCAAACTACAGAAAACTAAACAAACAAATGAAGAAAAAAACCCCCACAGATAATAACAATACCGATATCAAAAGGACAAGGAAGCTTGCGGGAAATTTTATGCCTGAATATAAAGCTCTACATACAAAACATACAATTTTCACAAATGTGCAATGTGTCCCCCTCTCCATGCATGGCATTTGTCCATACCATAGCCAAACTTGTCCCATACTTTTGCAAGCATGTCTGGAGTCACTGCAGCCACTGCTGTTGCTATAATACACCCAGTACGATGATTGTATATCATATATGACTGTACGTTTGTTCCCACACTCCTCCTAGACAACTGGTTTAATTTTCCTGAAACTACCTATGGTTTGTAGTATGTTGAGTGATTAAAACTACAACATCAAATAAAAATTAATTTTTCTTTTTCAGTGCATTTGTATTTAGAAACTTTGTGACCAAGGCCGGTTCGTAAATGTATGTTGTTTTTACGCATCTAAATAAAACATAATGTTTAGGTTTATATCCATGTTACAAGTACACTTTAATGGTCACCAGAGGGTCTAAGTTCTAAGAACTGGCAAGATTTTACTTGCTATCTGGTGTGTCTATATGATTGGACAGCTTTATTTGAGAGAGAGGGAAATCTTCCTGGATATTTGCATCGCTGGGAATGGCAGGTGTGGTTGTTCATTCCTTTAAGGTAAAGTACTGACTTGCCTCCGCAGTAATTTCCATTTTAATTTCTGTTTCCAATTAAAATCCCCTATTATTCATATTAAAGAGAGGGTTAAAGTGTAACTTCTAGCAAAACTTTGCTACAGTGATCGTGCAGAAGTGTAGTTTTAAACATTGCTCAAAATCACCTTTACTTGTAATTTTGTAGTAATTAACCTATTCAGGTTTATGATTTATAGGCTGGTAAACATTTACACAGAACAGAAAAGACATTCATAAGAATCAGCGTAAAGAGCTGACAATGATATGAGCCATACCACATACAGGATGGGGTCACTGCCATTCGGTCCTTTCTTTTCATTCTGTTTCACGGTCCTAATGCATCTCTAATGGTTTCAAGTTGTCAGTAATTAAATAAGGTTTCTTTAAAATCCTCACTGACAAGTCTGACGTAGGCCTGTTCCTTTCCTTACTTAGATGCTGTCTAGGGACAATTCTCTGGACTCGAGCAATGACAAAAATACTTTGAGAAAACTCAGGCAGTCATTGAGTCATTTCATTCTCTGCTTCACGTTAATGTTGTGCAGCACTAGTTAAAATATATTTCCTGCAATAAGACATTTTATTTCAGTTTTTTTTAATTTTTTTTATTTCAGACTTGGTCTTGTTCCTCCTATATTTAAGAGTAAACTCCACAGCAATGCTTCTTCTGTTAGCACAAGAAAAGACGAGCTAGAGCAGAAAATACAAGTCTGACTGGAATATGAGACAGACACACAGGCTCTTATTTGTTTTAGCGCGTCTCACCCTGATCTGTTTGTTTTCTTCCCGTAGCCTCTGCACTTCCATCTGCAGTCGCCTGCACTCCTCCATGATCTTCTTCACTTCTCCATCATCCAGCGAAGCACTGGCTGACTTGGGCAGGACAGAGTGCTCAGTCTTAACAGAGGCAGAGGAAGACACAGTTTTGATGATTTCACTCTCATGCTGTGGAGAGAGAGTGAAGATGGGGAGTGGTCGGTGGGATGAGAGTGGAAGAAAAAAAAGGAACGAGGGGACATGCAAAGACAAAGCATGGAGATTAAAGTGGAAACAAATCACGAAACAAAATAAATCACGAGATGGGTGATACAGTGATGTGTAGCTGATGAATAAAAAAAAATGCTGACAGAAGGAAAAAAAACTAAAAACTACTACTCCACTGAAACAGAAATTAAATGGTTTAGTCTGATTTTATTCTTTGAAGGGGACCTATTGTGCTTGTTTTCAGCTCCATACTGATATTCAATGTTGCTGCTAGAGCTCGACATGATTTACAAATAGAAATATTCCTTATTCATCTTATACTTGGCCTTGGCACAGTCAAACAGTTGATCCACAGTCTGAAACAAGCCCTTTTAGTTCCTCACCTTTTAACGCTGCACTCTGTTTTAGCCAACCTTCTTTTGATTGGCTGCCTCCTCTCAAACAGAAGGTTTGGGCAGCTTGGTGGGGTGCCCGTGCTTTCAGCCAGATTACTGCTTACAACTTTTCTGTCACAACAGGTCCCACTAAATACTCAGTCAGCATATAATCTGTTACTACAGACAGCTATTATTATGTACTTAAATCAATGAAGTACACAGTGGAACAACCGTTTGTGGAGATCATTGGGGGTGTAATAAAATGTGACTGTGATTGTGAATGTTTAAAGTGATGTGGCAAATGCTGAAGTGAAGAGAAACACTTACAGTTTTGTCATTTTCTAGAGGCATCTCAAATGCACATCTCAACTTTGAATCCATCAGCTCTTCAGGCTTTGCCTCCTTCCACTGTTGACAAAAAAATGAAAAAGGGAACCTTTAGATTGTTCTTTTTTTGTATAACATAAATTCATTTTTCACTAATATCCATACTTCAAAGTAAATTCTCAACAGAAATGACCAACTTTACATTTTCAGGCTTAGGGAGCTGCATAAAAATGTATACATTTGTCAAACAGTTTTGAAATAGCTTTTGCGGAATGAGACAAATACATTGAGTGAGCTACATTATTCGAGTGTTCAGCTGAAGATAGACTTCTGGAAGACACAGATGCCGCTAACGCAAATAAACAAAACAAAACTCAGGGCCGAGAGGTAATGTAAGAAATTTAAACCCTTCAGATTCTCCAATAATAAAATACCCTCCCCCCCAAAAAAAGGAAAATAGTATGCTCAGGTACTCACAACTCCTTCCATGTCAGTCATGTCATATGGAGCCAGCATGGACTGCACCATGAATTTGTGTTTACTCTTTTCATTGGGGTCATAGTCAAAAGGCTGTAGCATAACTGTGGGCAAAAACAAAGACAGAATGAAGAAAACAGCATTTGCATGTCTCATAAACCAATAGAACACATCACATGTTGAAAATGGAAAAAAAATGTACAATGTCAAGAAAAATACTAGCCATTTTGTATTTGAAGGAAATCACTGAATTTGAGGAATTTGTAGCAACATGTCTCAAAAAAGTTGGGAAAGAGCCATGTTTACTGTGGTTTACCATTCCCTCTTTTTTTTAACAACAACCCATAAAAACCAGAGGATATGGGACCAGTTGCTGGACTTGCTGGAGTAATAGTGTCCCATTCTTGTCTGTTATAAGCTTCTTGCTGTTTTTGGCTGGTAAAAGGTCTGGACTGCAGACAGGCTAATTCAGCACTTGGACTCTTTTACTAGAAAGTTATGCTGTTATGATAGCTGCAGTATGCTGCTTTATTGTCTCGCTGAAATATGCAAGGCCTTCCTTGAAAAAGACGACCTCTAGATGAATATGTTGCTCTAAAGCTTGTATGTACCTTTCAGGACTTATTGTGTCTTTCAAGTAGTACAAGCTTCCAATTTTATAGGAACAAATACACCCCGAATACCAGTAGAGCCATATAGGGCTGGGCTATATCATACCGTTCACGGTAATACCGGT